CATATTGGACACCACCTCTTTAATCTCTAGGGACCAGCCCACATCTCTGCTCCACTATTTTTTGTGCTTAAGACACGTAGAACCTCTTGGGGTCTAGTTAAAATGCAGGTTCTCATTCAGTAGTCTGAGAGGGGGCCCCCAATTCTGAATTTCTAGCCAGGTCTTAGGTGGTGCCATGGACCACGTTGAGTCATCAGGCTTGCTTCTTTCTCTGACCACAGTTCACCCAGGAGTTCCATGCTATGGTCTCATCCCAGGCCCCTCCCCACCCTCTGCCACCTGGCTTCCCCACCAGCCCACTGGATGAGGCTCCAACCAACTGAGTCACTGGGCCAGAGCTGGATAAATTCTCTTAAAAAAAAAATATATATATATATATATATATATATATATATATATATATATATATATTATTGAATTTTTACAGAAAGAAAGGGAGAGGGATAGAAAGCTAGAAACATTGATGAGAGAAGCATCGATCAGCTGCCTCTTGCACACCCCCTACTAGGGATGTGCCCGCAACCAAGGTACATGCCCTTGACTGGAATCGAACCTGGGACCTTTTAGTCCACAGGCTGACGCTCTATCCACTGAGCCAAACCTGTTTCAGCTGGACAAATTCTTTTATCTACCTACCTACCTACTTACCTACCTACCTACCTCTTTGAGTCTCTTTTCTCCTAAATGTCTCTGAGAGGTCTCAATTGAGATGCTAGTCTGTCAGCAATATTTCTTACACTTCTTTTTTTAAAATATATTTTTTATTTATTTCAGAGAGGGAAAGAGAGAGATGAGAACATCATGATGAGAGAGACCATTGATCCGCTGCCTCCTGCCCCTCGACCCGGACATGTGCCCTGACCAGGAACCGAACCCTGGCCTCCTGGTTCACAGGTCCACTCTCTAAAGCCACACTAAAAACACGTTTTTAAATGTGTACATATTCATCTTTCCCACTCCTGTTATTTTTTTTGTAACATGTTTGTTGAAGAAACCAGATCATCTGTCCTATAAATTTCCCGTGGACCGGACTTGCTGACTGCATGCCCCCGGAGGACTTCTCCTTTCCACCGTAATGTCTCCTTCCCCCATTTCACAGGTGAGAAAACTGAGGAGTCAAATGCTCAGAGAAGCCCGTGGCAGCGGCCAGGCTTCTGACTTCCAGCCAGAAAAACAGGCTGCATCCTCAGAGCACGGCAGGGCAGGGCACATGCGTGTGCTCACACAGCTGCGGCTGAGTGAGCAGGCCTCCGTGCACGCCCCCCTCACACCTTCCGGTGCACTCTGACACGGTGCCACCCGTCTCCCCTCCTCACAGGTGGGAAGGGCCGCCTGGCCAGTCCCAGGGCCAACCTCGCAAACACAGATTCTCTGACCCTGGACCAGCAAACCAGAGCCAAGCTCCCCCGCCCACAGGCTCCACTGCTTTCTCTGTCCTCTCCTCATTCATTCATTCACATCGCTAGAGGAGTTTGGCATGTGCATGCATGTGGCCGAGAGCCTCTGTACATATATGGGCAGATGGGTATGTTCTCAGAGGGGGGTGTTTGCTTCTAACGCTGTGGTGTGTGTGTGTGTGTGGTGTGTGTGTGTTTACAAACTGTACATTCATGTCCCCAGATCTACGTGTTCCTGTAGTTGTCAATGGCTCCAGCTGGGTGTACATTTGTGTGTTCTCAGTATCTTTCCACTTATGTGCGTGTGTTCCTACGGATGACACAGTGGCTGAGAAAGCCTCTGTGGTCATGCACAATACAGATGCACACTGTGTCTGAGAACCTGTGCCCATACAGCTTGTGTCTGCACACACCTCTCTTCTCTGTGAGCACGAGTGCCTGTGTGACTAGATGGTATGCGGTCTGTGTGTCTCTGTGCACCTGTGTGTCCACACACCTGTGTCCCTGTGTGCGTCTCAGTAGATGGTGCGGGTCTCTACGTTTGTGTGCTCAGTACCTGAGGCTGTGCCTCCCCTCAGGGGCTGTGATTGGCTCTCAAATGCCGGTGTCAACCTGGCCCCTCACTGCCCAGATTCCTGCCACCTCCGTGCCCACCTGGAGTGGCGGCAGGAGGCTCTAATAACGGGGAACGGGGACCCTGCCAGCCAGCTCCTGTGCCCAGGGCCAAGGTCCCTCTGAGGGCAGGTGTCTGCTCCCAGCATCTCCAGCACCCACGGCCTGGGGCAGCCTGGTGGAAAGCCAGAAACCCGATGTGGGGCACATGGACAACAGGCTTTGCTCTGAAAAACAAAACAACCGCCAGCGTCAGATTGGAAAAAGATGAGAGTGGAATACAGCCCAACAGGACCCTCCAGGCCGGCGGCTCAGAGGGCGTGGCGGGGCTGGGTGTTGACCTCAGATACCTACGCTCATCTCCCCCAGCAGCGGGGTCAGGACCCCCGCCAGGGCACTGGCTTCTCAGGGAGAGGCAGCGGGGACACAGTGGACCCGGGGTCACTGCTGGGCCTGTTAATCATCTCCCTGGGGGATCCCTGGGCCCCATTGGCTGCCTCGGGCCACGGCCCTCTGGCTGAAGCCCAGAGAGGGAAGGAGCCTTCCAGCCAGGGTCCGCCCCGTGTCCTGGGGAAACGGGGCTGATGTCATTGGCTAGGGCAGTGGTCAGCAAACTCACTATCAACAGAGCCAAATATCAACAGTACGACGACGGAAATTTCTTTTAAGAGCTGGAAACCGACTTCTGCGCATGGGCCACGAAGGTTCCATCGCACTGTACGTGCAAGCCCGCACGTGGTATTTTGTGGAAGGGCCACACTCAAGGGGCCAAAGAGCCGCATGTGGCTTGCGAGCCGCAGTTTGCCAACCACTGGGCTAGTGAAATGAGTGTGCCCTCTGGAAGCCCCCAGTCTGAGAAGGGCGGCATCAACCCTGCCCTCAGGGAGCCCCTGGTTGAAGGGAGAGACCACCCATGCCCTCACGGGGACCCTGAGTTGGCAGGAGGCAGGAGGCAGGACTCAGCCACAGCTGGGAGAGGGACTGGAAGGGGCGTACACTTAGGTGGGAAGGAGCAGAGAAAAGCCATGCAGGGCAAGAGACCCAGAGAAGCAAAGGGGAGGGATCCTGAGGGGGGGGGGGGGGGGGGCAGGGAGGAAGGCATTCTGGTCAGGGGCTCTAATAGAAAGCCCAGGAGCGGGCACATCTGAGGTTGGGGGCTCCGAGGGCAGCGGGAGGAAAATGATTGTGTCCCCGGGCTAGGACCACCTCATCTGGTGGATTCTGGGAAGAGAGAGAGAGAGAGAGAGAGAGAGAGAGAGAGAGAGAGAGAGAGAGAGAGAGAGAGTATTGGGGGGGGGGATCCCCAGAAGGGGTCGGTCGGTGTGCTCTCCCAGCATCCTCTGGGATACTCAGGAGAGACAACAGCCCAGGCCATGGATCCCCATTGGGCAGAGCCCCAGGAGGCCTATCTCCGGGCAGGAAGGAGTGAGCCGAGGTGGGGACGTAGGATGCCTAGGACCTGGCCATGGCACTCCAGCTGTGTGACCTTGGCCAGGACAGCGCCCTCTGCAGGTGCTTTTCCTGCTCCATACCAGAGGGTGGGCCTCAGGGATCAGAGTGCACCTGGTGTGGGGTGTGCACAGGGAGAGTACACCAGGTGCTTAGAGCGGCACAAGCAGACAGTAACAAGTAACAATGAATCACATCCTGCGAGTCTGTGAATCCTCTTTAATTCTTGCTCGGAGCGTGCATCGTGAGCAGAACTGCTTTGCTTCAAAGACCAGCTTCACCGCTTGTGAGCAAAGTGACTGTGGCCCTCACCTGCATCTGTGCCTCAGATCCCTCATCTGTAAAACGGGGATGGTGGTTATTCTTAAGACTTCCTTTTGGCCCTGCAGGTGTGGCTCAGTGGCGAAGCATCCACCTGTGAACCAGGAGGTCAGGGTTTGAGATGTTTCTAGCTCTCTCTTCTCTCTAAAGTCAATTTTAAAAATGCGGGTTTTGTTTTTGTTTTTGTTTTTTTAATATATTTTATTGATTTTTTACAGAGAGGAAGGGAGAGAGACAGAGAGCCAGAAACATCGATGAGAGAGAAACATCGACCAGCCGCCTCCTGCACAACCCCTACCAGGAATGTGCCCGCAGCCAACGTACATGCCCTTGACCGGAATCGAACCCGGGACCCCTAAGTCTGCAGACCTATGCTCTACCACTGAGCCAAACCGGTTTCGGCATGGGTTTTTTTTTTTTTTTTAAAGACTTTATTCTGTATATGGTCAGTGATTCTGGCCTTTTAGTTAGTTTTGATATGAAAAAAGTTTAAAATTTAAATAAGAGATTTAATGCTTTTAAGGAGTGATTTGAGGCTATGACAAAAGTATTCAAAGTAGTACCCAGCGGCTGGTATGGAATAACCCTGGTAACTTCATGATTCCAGACTTCTGTGAGCTGGGACCACAGGACGGAGGCGTCCGACCTCCAGCAGCATCCGCTCCCCCCTCGGACAGTAACTGCCACTTGCTCTCCCCTCTTGCCTCAGCCGGACTCCCCTTTATATTTTTAAAATATACTTTATTGATTTTTAACAGAGAGAAAAGGAGAGGGATAGAGAATTAGAAACATCGATCAGCTGCCTCCTGCACACCCCCCACTGGGGATGTGCCTGCAACCAAGATACATGCCCTTGACCAGAATCGAAGTCGGGACGGAGGACGCTCTAACCACGGAGCCACACCGGCCAGGGCCAGACTCCCCTTTCATCATCCAGACCCCGCAGGCGCCCACAGTCACCCCCCAGTTACCCCCGGGTCAGCTGAGCCCTTCCCGACACCCGCCGTGACCGGTGACCGCAGATCAAAGATATCGCCGCCCTTCACCGCGGTCATGTGACCCTCGCTAGTGGGTCCATCAGACCTCCCCAGGGGCGGGGCATCCCGTGGCCCCGCCCACCAACCCCGGCCCTGACCCTCTGCAAACGCGGTACCGAGCCCACTGACCTGCCCCGCCCCACCCCGCCCCCGCCGGCCAGCACAAAGCCCGGGGGACGCCACCGGGGGGCGAGCCGGTGCGGATGTCCCCGTGATGATGCGCTGCGCTTGGGCCGTGCGGGCCGCCGCTGTGGCCGGGAGGCTGCGCGGCCCCCGCGGCCCCGGGGCAGCCCGCCGGCTGGGCAGCAGCGCGCGGCGCGGGGCGGCGAGGGCCGCCAGCCCGGGGCGCCTGCTCAGCACCGCCTGGGCGCCCGCCCGGCCGGCCCCGGAGGAGGCTGCGGGTGCCGAGGACGAGGCGCAGGCCCCCGCACCCGAGGAGCCGTCGTGGAGGCCGCCTCCCGCACCCCCGGAGCCCCCGGAGCCCCCCGGGCCCCCGGGCGGCCACAGCCTGGTGCAGCGGGACATCCACGCCTTCCTGAACCAGTGCGGCGCCAGCCCCGGCGAGGCGCGCCACTGGCTCTCCCAGTTCCAGACCTGCCCGCACTCCGCCGACAAGCCCTTCGCCGTCATCGAGGTGAGAGGGGCCGCCGCGGGCCCAGCCCCCGCGAGGGCACGAGGTGGGGTGGCGATGAATCGCCGGGCTGGCAGGACCGGCCCCGCAGACTCTGCACAGGGACCCGAGACGGGGGTCCCAGGCCTGGGCGAGGCCTGGAGCTCTTCCCAAAGCCTGACGCCCAGGCCGAGTGCGGGACCCCCAAAGTGGGATGCGCTGGAGAAGGCCCCCCGCACCCCCCCCCCCGCCATGGGCACAGTTAGGGGTTCAGCTGGCAAGTGGGGAACCTGGGCAGGAGTCACTTCCGTCACCCCTCCCCCCCCGGTGCCCTAGAGTCCAAGGTCGCAGGGAGGAGCGAGAGAGGAACACTAAAGTGAGATAAGGGGATGGCAAGACCCGACGGGGCAAAGGGCAGAGCAGGTGGGCCCCGGAGCCAGCAACGGGCCTGACAGCTCCTGGGCGGGGGGCGGGGGGGACACCTGGGGGGCTGAAGGCCGGGCTCCAGGAGCAGCGGGGGCAGCGGGGGCTGGGCCCGGGCCGCCTCTCTGACCGCCCGCTCCCCGCAGGTGGACGAGGAGGTGCTCCGGTGCCCGCAGGGCGTGTCCAGCCTGGCCTTCGCGCTGGCCTTCCTGCAGCGCATGGACATGAAGCCGCTGGTGGTGCTGGGGCTGCCCGCGCCCACAGCGCCCTCTGGCTGCCTGTCCTTCTGGGAGGCCAAGGCGCAGCTGGCGCAGAGCTGCAAGCTGCTGGTGGACGCGCTCCGGCGGAACGCCGCGGCGGCCGTGCCCTTCTTCGGCGGCGGCTCGGTGTTGAGCGCCGCGGAGCCCGCCCCGCACGCTAGGTCAGTGCCGGCCCCGCCTCCCCCCCCCCCCCCCCCCCCGGGGACTCAGATCGGCGGGCCCATGACCCAGCCCGGCGGGCCCGGAGGGGGCGCTTGAACACCCGTCTGGCCCGCAGCTACGGGGGCACCATCTCGGTGGAGACGGACCTGCTGCAGTGGTGCCTGGAGTCGGGCAGCATCCCCATCCTGTGCCCCATCGGGGAGACGGCGGCGCGCCGCTCCGTGCTCCTGGACTCGCTGGAGGTGACGGCCACGCTGGCCAAGGCGCTGCAGCCCACCAAGATCATCTTCCTCAACACCACGGGCGGCCTGCGCGACAGCAGCCACAAGGTGCGGCCCTCTCTCAGCGTCACACCCCCGTACACACACACACACACACACACACACACACACACACCCGCTGCTGGCCTCGCTGAGCCCCCTCCGGCCGAGGGAGCTGGGACTGGAGGGTCAGGGAGGGGCTTAGCCCGCCGGTGCCCAGACGGGAGCCTCTCTGGCCCAGGCCTCTGGAAGGTGGGGAGGTCCAGGGAGCAAGAGGAGGTCCCTGGGGCAGGGTGGCCCGCGGCCGGGCTGCGGGTCGGAGGCTCAATTCCCAGCCCCGACGCAGGTCCTGAGTAACGTGAACCTGCCCGCCGACCTGGACCTGGTGACCAACGCGGAGTGGGTGAGCTCCAAGGAGCGGCAGCAGATCCGGCTCATCGTGGAAGTGCTCAGCCGCCTGCCCCACCACTGCTCGGCCGCCATCACCGCCGCCAGCACGCTGCTCACCGAGCTCTTCAGCAACAAGGGTGAAGGGGCGGCCCGGGGCGGGGTCCAGGGAGTGGGTGCTGGGCCCTGGGGAGGGGGATGCAGGGGAGGGGCCTCCGCCAGGAAGCAGGCCCCGGGGGGGACTCCACAGCACTGGCTCTCAGCTCTTGCGGAACTTGGTGGAGGTCAGCCAGGTGCAGGAGCCTGAGCTGGAAGTTGAATGGAACAGAGATGGGCGTGGCTTGGGCTGCGTGGCCACACCGCAGAGGGCGAAGTCTGGCGGGAAACACCAATGAAATGGACCGATCTGGGACAGGGGGCGGGACTAGGTGAAGAAGGTGGGACTGCAGGCGGTGGGCTGGATTTCCGGGACAACCTGCCTGGGAAATGCATTTCCCTGAGTGAACATCACCTCCACATCCGTGCAGACCACTGACAGCCTTTCCCTGGGGAGACCTCCCAAAGGGGGTGATTGCTCCATCAGCCCCGTCCTGTCTGGAGCCCCCAGGCTGCCCAGATGGAGGCGTGGAGGAGACCTCGCTCTGAGGCTGAACTGACCCCTCCTCCTCGCCCCGCCCCAGGGTCCGGCACCCTCTTCAAGAATGTGGAGCGGATGCTGCGGGTGCGCAGCCTGGACAGCCTGGACCAGGGCCGCCTGGTGGACCTGGTCAACACCAGCTTCGGCAAGAAGCTCCGCGAGGACTACCTGGCCTCGCTGCGCCCGCGGCTGCACTCTGTCTACGTCTCCGAGGGGTGAGCCTGGGGGCCCCGGAGGGCAGAGCCCGGCCCTCCCCACCCAGAAGGCCCAGCCTGACTTTCCCCGCTGCGCCAGGTACAACGCTGCCGCCATTCTGACCACGGAGCCCGTCCTGGGGGGCACCCCGTACCTGGACAAGTTCGTGGTGAACTCCAGCCGCCAGGGCCAAGGCTCCGGCCAGATGCTGTGGGAGTGCCTGCGGCGGGACCTGCAGACGCTTTTCTGGCGCTCCAGAGTGACTAACCCCATCAACCCCTGGTAGGTTCTGCCCTCCGGGCCCTGGGCTGGGCACCATCCCCCTCTCTCACCAGCCAGGAAGGTTAGGCGTCTCCTTCTCTCACTAGCTGTCCTTCCCCTGCGGCCCATTTCCCAGGACCACACAGGCAGCCTGAGCTTTCCTCACAGGCAGACTGACTGCACAGAACACCCCCTCCCACCCCGCCCTGCAACAGTGGTTCCCCGAAGCACGTGACAGCCCTCCCCCACCCCATCTCTCCCGGGGTCCTAAGAAATTCTGATCCTCCAGGCTCTACTCCAGGCCCAATTGCCCACTCAGACCTCAGGCCCAGCAGAACCCCCACACCTCTCTTCCCTTCAGCAACTACCCCTCACCCCCCATTACTCTGCTCTGAGGGCACCAAGCGGTGAACAAGCCTCTTCCCTGGCTGCTAGGCAAGGCAGGCGGCGGGAGCACCGGGTGTCCTCCTCTCACCCTAGCTGTGGGACCGGCAAGCTACCTCACCTCTCTGAGCCTCGGCTGCTTCTCTGTGAAAGCATGCCACCGCCAGGCTCTTAGCTGCTGTGAGGATGAAATCAGGCAACAGACAGCAAGTCCTAGCAGGATCCAGTATGCAGGAGGTCCTCATAAATGAGCCAGTGAGAAATGAGCACTGGCCACGCACTAAAGCTCCCACCACCACCAGGTACTTCAAGCACTGCGATGGCAGCTTTTCCAACAAGCAGTGGATCTTCTTCTGGTTTGGCCTGGCCGATATCCGAGACTCCTATGAGCTGGTCAACCACGCCAAGGGGCTGCCGGACTCCTTTAGCAAGCCAGCGTCCGACCCAGGCAGCTGACCCTCACCGCCAGCCCTGCAGGCCCTGGGGCGGCCAGGGTGGACCAAAAGCCATGTCTGCTGGAGGTGACTCCGGCGGCTACCGGCTGGACCAGGTTTGTTGGCGCGTGATCTGGAGGAGGAAGCAGCCCCTGCCCTGCTCTGCCTGAGGCGGGAGGCGAAGTGGGACCAGCACAGCAGAGTCCACCCGGGACCTCCGCGTGCTCCAAAGCCACCCCCAGGCGGCCTTACATGTTCAGTCTAGGGATCTGGGGGGAGGGGGGTCTGCCTCCCCAGGCTCTACTCAGGGCTCAACTTAGAGTAGGTCAGTTTCTGTGGCTTCTGTGCTGTGTTTTGAGGCTCCCTTGTCCAAAGCACAGCCCTCTCTGCCTGATCTTCACCGCTCGTTTTCATTCCTTTGGGTGTTGCAACTTTTCAGGAGGCCTTGATTAAAATGAAAATACTCGTCTGAGTCAGCTCACACTTGAAAGGAGCAGTGGCTCTCTGGGAGCAAGATGTTGTGGGCTGGGGTCTCAGGGGGATTCTAGAAAGACCGAGGGGCTAAGCGCGATGGAGAGCCCCCACCATGTCCCTCAAGGCAGCCCCCAGAGGGGCTCCCCTGCTCCTAATGGAAACACCCTCCATCCCACAGGCCAGGCCGGGCCGCCCAGCTCCCTTTCAGGCAGGGCACAGAATCCCCCCCCCCCCCCCCGCCTCTCCGCCTCCCCCAGCCCCCTAGAGGTGTGTCCCCATCTTTGTGGGAGCAGACAGGCATAGCCCAAAGCTGGAGGTTTCATTGAATACTATGTTTGACCCCATGATGTCCCAGGTACCACACTGGTTGCTGGGACTACCTCCTGCCAGGAGGTGCATGGATGAGAAGGAAGAGGGTCCATTAAGAGGCCACCGTAGCTCAGCAGGGACAGTGAGAACCAAACCCCCCGAGCAGCCTGTCTCCCCTCAGAGGGTGATGTTCAGTATGTATACTCTGGGCGATGGCATTACAGCCTGACCTGCAATCCAACTCTGTGGCTGCCAAGCTGCTTACCTTTTCCGAGTCTCCATTTTCTTATCTGTAACATGTAAACCCCTTGGCCTCTCCCTCAAGGTTGCTCTCACCAAGGATTTATTCAAAAACAGCTGGTATCAAATGGGGAGGAAAAATAAGCTCTAAGATGGAATGAGGTGAGAGGTCAAAAGAATATGCTACAGAGGATTAAGGGATCCTTGAAAAGAGCCAAAGGACTGTGGGAACGCTGAATAGGGGGAAGATTACGGGAGGGCCTGGATGGAGCTTAACCAGATATGTTCTTTCAAGAAACCCCAGATCAATCCCAGGCAATGGCAAAGTGCCCCATGGGGAGAACAGAGAAGCAAAGCCAAATGTCTACATAAAATGTTTATTTTTGGAGGACTGTGTGGTCTGGTGTTTGGGAGGGCACTCACCCCCACCAGGCTATCCAGAGCTGGAAACGGAAGGCAGGAAGGGGAAAGCTGGCCGCTGCCTGCCCCACCCCTTCCCACTCGAGCAGACTGTGGCCTGCTCTGCTCTTAAGGTAGACAGCTAGTGTTATTCCTGCCCCTGGCATATCCTGAGAACCCTGCGGCTTCTGTGGAGATCAGCCGTCTGCTCCTCCAGGGCCTGACCCGCCGATCAGCACGCACACTCATTCTCAGTCTCCAAAACCACCGCAGAGCCTAACTGCACCTGCCAGTTCAAAAGCAAGTTTTCACTTTTGCTCACTTCCAGTTCTTAGGTCTTCCTTCCTCTGTCTCCCACTCTCAGTACCCCTACCTAAGCCGCCTTACTCTCTTCTACCCAGGGGAGCAGCAGGCCTCAGCTCTCCTCCTAACCAACAGGGGGGAAAAAATCCCTGTAAGGCATCATCCTCAGGGCTTCCCCATGAAGGGCTGAGCCCAGAACTGGGGAACAGACCTGTCTCTTACCAACACACACACACAACACAGCGCAAAGGATCCAACAAACAGACCAAAAAGCATAAATAAACGCAACTGGACCAGCAAGAAAGGCAGGGTGGCACTCAGTGGCTCCCTGCACCCCTTTCAGCTCCTCCCAGGGCAACTCAGCCGTCGGTGGCTAGGATGATGGCGGCCCCGAAGATGCCCACACTCTCTCCGAGGAGCTTCATCTGGTTCCAGAACTCCACGCGCCGTGTGTGGTGCCAGTAGGCAACGTTGCCGTCTATGAGCAGCATGGCCGGGGGCAGCAGCACGGCCAGGATCTGGGCAGCCAGCGTCACGTAGTAGCCAGACAGGAAGGCGAGGGCCAGGATGCCGTACAGTAGAAAGAAGAGCTGGACCATGAGCTCCCCTCCTGGTAGATGGTTCAGGTAGGCCAGCCGGTCCTCCTTGCTGTGCTGCAGTGAGTAGGCCTAGAGACAAATCATCTCTTAGGACTGCCCAACGAGCTGAGGAGCCGGTTGGAAGCCCACCCGGGATGGCACCTGTAAGTCAGCCTCTGCAAGGTGGGCTTCTGCCTCCTCTCAGACCGGGGCCCTCTGAAAGTAGGACCTACATACATCGCCCCCTCAGACTAGAGAGCCGCATGAAATTAAGGTCTAAGTCCTTCCTCTCTCCGGGAGCTCAGAAGATAGATGGGGGCTCTCACCTCTGAATCCGGAGCTCTGCACATGGAATATGGTGCCCAGTAACTAAGGGTCCTAGGGATGACCACAATTGGCTAACTAGGCGTCCCCATCAGTCCTTTTTTTTTTTTTTTTTTTTTAAACCTCACCTGAGGATATATTTACTGATTTAAGAGTGAGAGGAAGAGTGGGAGAGAAACATTGATCTGAGAGAAAAACATCCATCGGTTGCCTCCCGTATGTGCCTTGATGGGGAATCAAACTCACAACCTAAGTTAGTGCTCTGACTGGAAATTGAACCCGCACCTTTTTGGTGTACAGGACAGCACTCCAACCGAGCCAACTGGCCCAGGCTTTTGTTTTTGCGTTTGTTTTTTTCCATCCCCTTCAGGTCTAAGTGGCAGAGTCCCAGCTGCTGCCTGAACCCACCAAACCTCTCCTTGGTCTCCTCTCCCAGTCCTCCAGGAGCTGGAGCCACGAGAGGAACAATCCATCTTGTTCTCCTGCCTCTCTGGCTTGGGAGTAAATGGCCAATTCAACCTTTTCTCCCCCTGGTGGCCATCATACTGAAAGGATATTGGCCAGGTCTCAGGCTCTCGGCCTCTGAGGCCCAGAAACCGGCAGGGGCAATTCCCAGAGCATGGCCCTCGGGATCTACACCCCCACCTCCCCGAGTTCTGCCAAGCACGGGCTCACATTTCACTCCCAGCCAAGCACCTCCAGCCAACAGTCCCCCAACCTACCACGCAGATGAGGTAGATGCCCAGGAAGACCTGGCCGGTGGACTGGAGGGACCGGCTGCGGGGCTTCCGGCGGTAGAGCTCCCCGGCACCGCTAGCCAGCACCAGAAATCCACCGATGATGGCCACTGTGCGTGAGTACATCCGGACCTAGGCCAAGGCAAGGGGACCCCAGTCAGGAACTGCAGTCGCCACATCTTTCCTGACTGCACAGAACTTCCTCTCTCTACATCCCCTTCCACTGGAGGAACCCTCTTACCATTTCCAAGTGTGTTGGGCAGGAACAGCAGAAAGAGAATTCTTTTAATCAGAAGTGGCCCAAAGGGGTTAATTAAACTGTTCAAGATCCTACAGAAAGTGGCAGAACCCGGTTACCAAGTGTCTCCTTCCCACCCCCAGGCCTGCAGCACAATGTTCTTTCTGCTATCTAGGATAGTCTGTCCCATAAAAACCCTTTAATCTCCCTCTCCTGTAGCTGTTCACACATCTGCTTCCCCTACTGGACAGACAGCATTCCTGAAGGGTAGTGCCTTTGTCCAGGCCTATCTCCAAGCCCACAATGCCTGGCAGGGGTGTCATTTACAGGTTTATTCCAGGACTAGGATTATGTAAATTTCACAAAATTAAATCTTTGGGCCAGACACCTGCAAGGTTCCTTTAGCCCTAAGAGTCTGAGATTACTAAACTAACAGTTTTAAGGGTTCTGGAAACCAGGTGACCTAGATCCTTGCTCCTCCACCTGTGATGGTAACTGTGGTGTGACTTAGGGTGAGTCTGTTTCCCATCAGTCTCCACACTCTGAAAGGAAGATGTGTGTGGTCTCTAAGGTCCTTCCGTTCCTGCAGTCTGTAACATCTCCACACGCCCAAAGCTCCCCATCGTCCTAGCCTAGTCCTCCTCGGGGCCCGGTTGCTCACCTTCAGCCAGTCCCCGTAGTGAACGTAGCCCCCGATGTAGGCGGCATAGGTGCTAATGGCCAGCTGGAGGGCGGCCCCCAGCGCAAACCAGCGCCGCTTCACTCCGAAGGACATGAAGCTGGCGCACAGCACGGCCGCCCCCATGTCGAAGTACAGGTAGGGCACCGGTATGTCGGGCTTCCTGCAAGCCAGGAGGGGGTAAGCAAAGAGATCAGAATGAAGAGGGGAGAGGAGCCTTGAGCCCCGGTGGCTTCCCGCACAGCCCCACTGCTCCTCCAAACCGGAGACCCCTCTCATGGCCGTGACCCCCGCACTATGCTCGATGTCCACCGTGCTCGGGACCGGAGCCCCTAACAAGTCTGAGATCCCAGCCCAAGGGCCCAACTTTCCCCCCACCTCTCCGCACCCCCGTTGCTGGGATGCGCTGCGCCGCCTCCCCCGCGGGGCCCGCTCACCGGCGCGCCTCGGCCCTCTCGGCGTACAGCATGAGCTGGCTGAAGCAGCCCCAGAAAGGGCAGCGTGTGAGCAACACTACGCCCAACTGCATGAGCAGCTGCAGTAGCCACCGTCGCGAACCCACCTTCGACGCCATCTTGGGGAAGGGCAGTCCGCCACGGCCTCGGCCGGGTCTAGGAGGGACGCGCGGAGGTGTGACACGCCACTTCCGGTCCCGCGGGGTTTGTTTTTCCCTCTTCCGTTGGGAAACAAGGCTCGCGTCCTGTGGTTCCGGGCCGAAGGAGACGTTCTAAGCAACAGAGTTCAGCCTTTCCCTCTACCCACGGAGGCTTACGGACCCCGCTCTGTAGATGCAAAATTGAAAACTAGACTAAAGGAAGGAACAGAGGGAAGCCTCGAGTCATAACTTAATGAAGCAAACTAGTTTTGGAGTGCAACTAGAGCCTAACTCCAACCCTGTTACTTTGGGCATATTGGCTATACTTCCCAAGATTCATCTGTGAAATAAAAATGACTTCTACGTTAGGGTGGCTGAGAGGTTTAATGTGGCAATGCTGGTGCTAGCACATAATAGGGGTTTAGTAAATGGTGTACATACTCAAGCCTGAGGAAATTCTCTGCTTTGGTTTAAATTCAAAGCAATGGGTTCTCCTAAGTCACCTGTAGAGAAGTGTGGTCTTGCTCTGCCTTTCCTATGTCCCCTACGAGAGAGATCGGAGGTGTATATATGGGACATCTCAAATCAATCCATTTTCTTTAGTTGCCATACTCCCAATCTAGCCCAAACTACCATCTTTTGTAGGTTTGATTGCAGCAGGTTTCCAACTGCTCTCCCCTACTTCTCCTTTGGTCTCATTTGTTCTCAGCTTCCTTTTTCATAACCATCAGGTACCCTTCCTTTGAATCACTTGGCACACAGGCTATTATATATGTGTAATTCTTCTATTTATTGGTTAGATTAATACTAGTTTGTGATTAAAACAGTGTCTGGTTTCTGTTTACTACTATATTCTCAGGCCCTAGTATACAAGATGCATTCAGGACATATGTGCTGAATAAAGTGAACAAAAGATGTTGCCACTATCTTATTCATTGTAGGTACTTAGAAATTATTTGTTGAATAAATAGGCAAAAGGTTTGAGCTTTCTGGGTTGCCACCACAAAGCTGCCCCCAACCCCTTGCCCACATATCTCCCTGCATCCATCCCACCATTCTACAGTACAAATTTATCTTCCAATACTGAAGTTAAGATTCTATAAGCACTCCCACTAGGCCATTTAATTCAGGTCTGTTTCTAGTTCCCTTGGGAGGAAACGGGTCTCATGTCCAAACAGCATTCTGACCATGTGAATTAAAAATTTCCCATCAGCCGAAGCCAGTTTGGCTCAGTGGATGGAGTGTCAGTCTGTGGACTTAAAGGTCCCAGGTTCGATTCCGGTCAAGGGTGCGTAACTTGGTTGCGGGCACATCCCCAGAGGGGGGTGTGCAGGAGGTAGCTGGTCGATGTTTCTCCCTCATCGATATTTCTAACTCTCTATCCCTCTCCTTTCCTTTCTGTAAAAAATAAGTAATATATATATATATTTTTAATTTCCCATCAGTCGGGCAGGCATGACTCAGTGGTAGAGGGTTGACCTATGAACCAGGAGGTCACAGTTCGATTCTGATCAGGGCACATGCTGAAGTTGTGG